ATGTGACAAGGAACACCATTTCTCGTTCATTCTTGAATGGTTCTATGTTTGAGGTCTTGTTTTACCAAAACGTGCAGTCACCAGATGGATTGGCCGTGGATATTGTCGGAAGGAACCTCTACTGGACTGATACGGGAACCGACAAACTGGAAGTTTCCAAACTGGACGGTTCCTATCGGAAAGCTCTCATAACAAGTGGCCTAGACGAACCGAGGGATATCATATTGGATATTAGTAAAGGGTCAGTACTTTAAATCGATGTGTAAAGAAAGAAAACCCTTCGTTACATTTGGAGACATTTTACTGATAACAATACAAGTTAGGGAAAATAAGGCTTCTTTTATCAGGGAATATTCGACCTCAACTCTGGCAGCAGAAGTATTTGATCACGGTCATAGAGAGCATTGTCGCTCTTAAATATCTGTCAACAAAGCCTAAATTTTTCAAATTTGCAAACACGCTTTTAAGGGTACGGGCTTAATACCAGGCCTTAAATCTGCTTTAATAAATAGAGAGAAATATCCTAAAATTTTTTTGGCTCGCTCAGTTCATGCATTCTAGCAGTTAGTTTGAATTTGTAGCTTATAGATCTTTTTCATATGACGTCACGGCGGCCATACTTGTGTAGAAAACAATGAATCGGCGGCCATGTTTGCGTACAAAAAAAATCCTGTGGGAGTTGAACTCTTTTTACATGTTAAAACTTTCTTTTTTTCCAAGCAATTTGTAAAGGTGCTGAGCACGTGACTGAAAGCGATCTGTAGGCGCTGCAGTGTAAGGGCGAAAGAAATCAAGGGCAAGGGGAGCTTGCTTGGCTTTCCTTGCTTGTAAAATAGTTATTATTACTTTTCTCTTCAAAAACGAAAACGTTGGAGAACATATGTAAACTATTTGAGGTGTCTTTAGGTTGAATTCGATTGCTAAAGGAAAAAATATGTTCGCAAACAAGAAAGGTTTGGTTGAAATATCTAAATCCAAATCCAAAGAAACCTTACATTTTCATTTTTCATTTTTATTTTTTTTATTTTTTCGTCATAGAATAATGTATTGGACAGATTGGGGATATCACGCAAAGATTGAAAGGGCTGACATGTCAGGACAACAGCGAGTTGTTATCGTAAACTCAAGTCTGTCTTGGCCAAATGGTCTGACGCTTGACCAAGAAAGAAACCGCTTGTATTGGGTGGATGCCAGCTACAGCAAACTCGAATACTTGCATCTGAGTACGAATATCAGGGTGACTTTAATTCATTCTTACGCCACCCTGCCTCATCCTTTCGGGTTAACACTTCTTGGAAACTTCTTGTACTGGACTGACTGGATAGACTACACTGTTTATCGAGCCAACAAAGACAGTGCTGCTGATGTCACTGTATTTGTCACAGGTATTGGGCAGCCTATGGACATACATGGATATAACCTCAGTGAAAAAACAACACCAGGTGAGAGAGCAATTTTTGTAATAAGAAGGCACTTCTTAATATTTTTTGTTATTGATGTTGGTTTTTGTTGCGACGAAAGATATTATAACCTTGAACTCGAGAAATCTCGAATTTTGTGGACTGGCTTATTAGCTACTGTTTATTACAGAACTGAAGGGGATGAAATTTGTCAAGTATAGGAAAAAGAAATCTAAAGTTTAGGTCGCAATGCAGTACAAAGTGCGGACCTTTTGTTACCAATGAAAGTCAAATGGTAAAAATACTGGGCAAAAACAATCATAAATCAAGGAATTTCTCTGAATAAATTTAAAAAAATTATGTTTATGTTGAAGATGCAAATTTTTGAACCAATTGAATTTACAAGCTCTTTTATTCCTTTATTTTTTGACAAACCTTGATTTTTGCTCTGAAAATGTCTACAATGGTGAAATGTCGTAAAATGTAATTGTAATCACAATATTATGTTTTCGTCGTCGGTTATTTTATTTTTGTCGTAGCCAATGGCAATTCAAATTGCTTTGCCATATTCACTTACTGCGTTTTTACATGCAAACTCTTAAGTCACAAATTAAACATAATGTCTAACGTTTATTTTTCTCGTCACCCTACCGCTCCACCATGATTAATTGATTTCGATCAATTTTGTTTGTCTCGTTTCGTCGTTACTGTGACTGACGGAAGCTAAAATTGTAACCGTAGTTAACCGTATGACAGTCTCTCTTTTGGTCCAAAATCTGTGAAAGAGCGGTAAAGCCCATTGTTGGTGTTCTTTATCTTTGAAATTTCGAATTGAAATTAAACCTCTCCATTGCGCTTAAAAGTTTTGCTTACCCTCCCAGAACAATTAGCCCGAGAGGAGACGGATGTAAGGGGGAATAAGGATCATGCAATTAGAGGAATACATCCAACTGAATTTTTTGTGAATTACCGATTACCGTTGGTGGTTCGTTAGCGTTTTAGCGCCAAAATGTCAACGGCGAAGACTGCAATTTTATTGCCATGAGTCATGCCTTGGAAGATTTGAAAAACAATAAATATTGACCAGAGAATCATGTGTAAAGGAGAAGTCAGATGATATATATATATATATATATATGCATATATTTTTGTTTTAAACTACTTGGAGGACTGAATTATTGATAAATGGACTAAATTTTTTTTCTAGTGCCAGTTTATTTTCCTTCGTCTTGTGTACATGACTTTCTGTGAATGTCACGGCTAAAAAGAATTGTGAACTGTGCTAAGGGTTGAAGAAAAGCTTGACTCCTATGCTCCAGCAAAAGCCGTTGTTTTGTCAAGCAAGATTTAATTGCTCGCCTACTGGCAATTTCCTTGCTGAGGTTGTCACTTGGGGCAGCCTTGCTTGGGCTATAATCTGCAGTTTGTGGGTTTTTTTATTTTTGTCGTAGCCAATGGCAATACAAATTGCTTTGCCAGATTCACTTACTGCGTTTTTTACATGCAAACTCTTAAAGTCACAAATCAAACATAATGTCTAACGTTTATGTTTCTCGTCACCCCACCGCTCCACCATTTTTTTTGTAATTTAATCACTGTTTATTTCAATTTCTTGCCTTACAATAATAACATTAATTTTTACATACATTAACGACATTACAATTTTTAAAAAATAATACACAAAGAACTCACACACGCACGCCTAGCACACACGACACACAACGACAGTATCAATACTACTAAACCTTAACAAGTATTTGTCGGCAATTTTGTACCACCTGTCAAGAGTGCTTGCCATTTCGATAGATGAAAAGACATTTTATTCTTCGATTGGGCAATGGTAGTTTCTAATTGATAAACGTTATGAGTCTCGCCAAGAAAACCCGTAAACAAGGGTTTGTTTTCGAGCATCTGCAATTATATATATACTGCTTACCAACTAGCAAAATATGATTAATAAATAAATTGTCTTTATGTGCCTTTATCTCAAATAATATATCTTTAGCAGAGAGATGGTTAATAACCACCCCCCGATTGCTACACCATTTAATAACTTCTGCCCAAAAACTCTGAGTAATCAGGCAAGAGACAAAAACGGGTGTTCAAAGGATTCATCCGCCCCAACCTACCGAGAACATCGTGGTGATGAAGAAATACCAATTTTCTTTAAAAAATCATTGGTAGCCAGATATCTGTGTAACAATTTATATTGAAATTCACGTGACTTAGTATCCGCTCCACCATGATTAATTGATTTCGATCAATTTTGTTTGTCTCGTTTCGTCGTTACTGTGACTGACGGAAGCGAAAATTGTAACCGTAGTTAACCGTATGTTCAAGTCCAGTTCTGGCCCCTCTCTCTATGCCACGCGACACCAGGAGAGAAAGGGATTTGTTTAATCACGAGGATGATTACAGACCGAATTGGACGACAAGAAGTGCTGTTACCAATTAATCATAACCATCACAATTTCCGCGAAAACAAATGGATTCTTTACTCGGAAAGAGCTAATAATACCAACTATCCAAAATAAGGGGAAATAGCACTGGCAGAGACATTTTCTAATGTTACAAATTCCTCCATTTTGGAAAATCTCCCGTTTGGTAGTAGTAGTTTAGTAGTGGTTGTTGCTATGATTATTGTGATAAATACCGTGATTGGTGGATTTAGCTGAGTGCACTTAACATGATTGGCTGATGGAAGTGTCCGATTACAGCCAACTGTCTAATTACACTGTTCCATTACAACCCTACACAATATTTGGTGAAAAATAAAGCAGTTAATGCACCAATAAAATTGTAGCAAATTGTAATTATTATGATTAAAAGAAAAATTACGTTCGCTTCAGTAATGATTATTACTGTCTTATCCTTAGAAAATCCCTGTTCGTCGTCTTTTGGTGGTTGTTCTCATTTGTGTCTGTTGAGACCCAACGGTTATCTTTGCTCGTGTCCAGATCAACTTGCACCTGGCGATGTTTGCATCAATGGCTGTAAGAAATATTTTTAACTCAAAGACAACAGAAAGCAAACATATAGTTTTTTTGGAGTCATATAATCAGTGAATCAGTCTTTCTATTGTGATGTTCAGTATTCGGTTATTCTACGCTCAATATAACTACAAGTCAACATAGAAAAGCCGGGAAAATATCACTGTGGAGATCCACTTTCAACACACTATTTTATCTAAGCGTTTTTACAAAATTGGTTTCGTCTTATGACTTCTTGGGTGGTACGGCACAAAATCTCGCAGAATTCGATATAACTATTGTTAACAACAATTGCTGGTTTGCATGTGACGTGGTGACAGCCATGTTAGTGGTTAAGAACGAAACATTTCTATACCCTGGCAACTAAACTCCATTTTCATGTAAATTCCTTGAAATAAGGTTTATTTCATTGACCACCACGGTCGTCATGTCACGTGGTTGCAACCCAAGATTGTTCAGAATCAATTGTAGAAAAGTTCTTCGTATCAGTTTGGAGAATTAGAGTGATTTTACTCAACCCGTGAAATAGATAGCAGACTTATACACAGTATTACATTCTTTTATTGTTTTATTTTGTTTATTTGTAACTATTTGGCACTAATTATGACGTATTGTTCACGGGTTTAGAAAAATCTCTGGTTCTTTGGTTGGTGGTTTCATTGGCTAGGATGTAATTTAATGAAGCTTAAAGTTAGCATTTTTTAATCTCCCGTGTGATGAAAAGATTTCAACACGGGGCATTCGTTTTCCTGAAACACATCGTTGTTATAAAACAGTATTATTCTAATTTGCTCTTAACACTGGTTATTCTAATTTTTTAAAACATTTTCACAACCTTCGTACTATAATTATTTTCCCAAATTACAGTCACGTCGCTCTATATATTTTGTTAGATATACTTGCAATACTAATACAACTGTTTTTGTTTATTAGCTATTCCGCTACCGTTTAAATCAACTCACATGGGTACAGCAACATACTCCCAATACCAAAAGTCGAGCGTAAAAGTTCGTAGCACTGTCATTTCATTTTCCTCTGTAAAACCAAGCAGTTCCTCAGTCTCGTCCCAGTGGCCCACTACATCTGTTACATCGACATCCCGTATCACCAGTTCGTCTACAATCATGTCACAGTCCAGACTGAGGACGTCATCACTGACTGCTTCGAGCACAAGTCTGCTTCCAATGATTTCATCACACGGATTAACATCAGCATTTCCAAGTCAGCGGCAGACCACGGTTGAGAGCACTAGTCAACCTCCACCCACCCTCGCTCCTTCTGAGTGTCGCCCTGGAGACTGTGAGAATAATGGAACTTGCATTGTGCCAGGCTATTACTGCAGATGTCTTAAGTATTATGTGTGGCACCGCTGTTCCGTCTACGTTGGTAAGTGTGTTAGCAACGACCAAGAGAGAATAAACAGACAGACAGGGAAACGCCTTGTCTAGCCCTTGGGATATGTGAATTTCGCAAAAGTTATTTTTAGACCCGTTAGACGCTAGAAATTAAACGCAAGTTCGTTTTATTCAGTGTTGAAAAAAAATTCAACGGTTGACATTTCAATATTTTGCATTGTTTGATGAGGCAGACGTGCTTTGACTTAATGGCGTTTCAAACAATCGATAAAAATGTGCATACGTCTCCGGAATTACACACTCGTTTAATTACAACCTCTAAAAATAACTTTACTAAAATTCCCATATCCCGGCTAACGCCCTAAGATTCCCTCTCTGTCCCATTATTTACTCTTGCAATGACGAATAATAACAATTTTAGTTCTACTTACAGAAAAATTCGTTGTTAAGTTGTCCCACTTTAGTCTTTTTCTATGAAACTTACGTCCAGAAATTCAAGAAACCTCGGAATGTGGGAGCATCATATTAGACACAGACATTTCTTGTACACAGAATAGGCGATTCAGTTCCGAGTTTCAAAAACTCTCCCTCCTTTCACAACGAGGCTAAGCGTTAAACCTTTCTGGTAAAAGTGAGTTTATTTGCATGAGAATTAAAAATCATTTTCATTTCAGTAGCTTCGCACTTAGCCTCCCATTGAAACAGATCGTTAGGGTAACTCGGAGACCTATTGCTTGCCTTTAAGTAAGGATAAGGGTTAGGAGACACTTCGTGATTTCTATCATACAGAGCATGAATCACATTAAGATGTTATTGATACTTCTATAAATAGTAAGGTCTCTTTAACTTTTCAAACAATCCAACGCATAAATATTTATTGTCCATGGGAGGCAGCGTGGCCGAGTGGTCAGCGCGTCGGACTCGCAATCCGGCGGTCCCGGGTTCGAGTCCCGCTCTGGCGTGAACGACCTAAACACGAGCCAGCAGGGCTCAAGTTTAAGAGCCGGTACGAACATTTATCGCAACTGGTTGCCTTCTGCCAGTTGGGGTTTTTAATCCTGTTATGTTGTATTTGAATTATTTGTTTCTAATTATTTATTTCTAAATATTCGAGTGGAGTGCCTGTAAATTAGCTGACTAGCTAAGTGCACCTTCCACTATAAACATGCCTTTAACCTTTTTTTTAACCTTCCAGAGACAGTATAGTTAATTTGAGTTGCAATAATACTAAACCGTTTTCTATCTTTACCGCTTTTTAATAACGTTTGTTTTTTTGTTTGTTTCTTTTGCAATTTAGGGGCAAAAGCTGTGGAAATAGAGTTATCTTTTCAGATAGAGGTACCGTTGGGCTAAACAAAATATCCGTTAGAATCGTTAAAATAAAAAAAATTAACAGCGATCCAAACTGAAATATCTTTTTATTGCGTTTGAGGCCTTGGGTTTGAAAGGACAGTGTAAGGCGATCATTTGTCTCGCAAAATAGTCTGTTCAACGTCTTATCTTTTCCCTCGTTCCCTACATTTCTTTCATTTTTGTTTATTCATTTTTTATTATAATAAGTGCTTTAGTAGCACAACTCGTGGCACTTTTTTCACGACGTCAGTTTGAATTTTTTAAAATATTTTTAAACAGAAAATTTAAGTGTTGAAAAATCCGTTGTGCATTACCCCATGCTGGTGAATCTCCTAAAGCGTACTATTGAGCTCAAGACCATTTTTTGTCGTTCAATCTTTAAATTGAACATTATGAATACTGAGTGTAAACTGGCGTGTAATTGTAATGGCTTTATTCCGCTCAAGAACAAAATCATTATTAAGTACATTAACACAAGCGTATCTATATTCTTTGCTTACAGAGTGGCCCGATTGATTCATTATTAAAAATAGCCCTTGCAGAAGCCTGCACTAAATACTTCTGTGAAAACGGCCAATGTAAAAGGTAATACATCGAAATTTAAAGTTGCTTAAATGAGGTTAAATGAGGTTATCGTTATTTGTCAGAACAGTCGACAAAGTTTCTTGCTTTATTGATTTAGAATTGTTATAAATTATTTGAACCCAGGAATCATTTCTTAAGTACCTTGGATATGATCGTCTGGATTAATGTGATCCTGAATATTTTATTTATTCATTTATTTGTTTTTTTATGTACAATAATGACATCAAAGTACAAGAATATAGAACAACACACTAAAAGATAACGAAGAAAAGTAACAAATAAATGGAAAATATTTACATCACAACACTTATACTAATTTTTACAAAAAAATGATTCCAATTTATATAAATACATCATTAGCCTAATTACACGTGATAAGGCTATAAGAGTTAAACTTTCTATTTTCCGTTGTATTTTTAAATTATTTGTAAATTGCGTACAGGTAATGAGCATCTTATTAATTTTCAAACTATATACATACTTTTTAATGAACAGGAGGAGTAGATCTAGTCGGCGTCTGAGATTATCATTGACAGGACCAGGGATACTTTTCTGCAACAGAATTTGCTCTGGGGAAAGATTTATGGAAGTATTATGGGACACATTAAACCATGATAAGATTTTATGATAAAACTTAACATTTGTAGGACATATAGTAAGAAGGTAAATTCCAGTGAATCAGGATTCTTACCCTGAGCACAAAGGTCATCATTTCTGATTTTGAATTTCTTGAGTTATTTGTTGATTGCTGTCTTTCGTCGATTTATAAACAGTACTGATTGTCTGTTCCCAGGATAGAGGCTAGACCAGCGTTTAACAGCAGTAGGCTCTGTTGTTTTACATTCCTGAAAAAAGTTGTAATAATCTTTACCTCTCAATTTACTAAAGGAGAGCCGGTCTATTGTCTATTATTTGAAATATTCATGTTGATTACTCGTTTCTTTTGATGGAATTAGAAGTCCTTGAAAGAGTCTTTCACTGAAACACATGCCACAGAAACGAATACAGCGAGGCAATTACCGTAAAATTCCGAAAATAAGCCCCTCCATGTATAAGCCCCTCCAAATATAAGCCCCCAATATCGTAACGCAAAAACCCTCCGTTAAATCGCCCCTGCGAATATAAGCCCCCCCCGGAGGGGGTTGTACTTGGAATTTGCTTGAAAGAGTCTTTCATTAAAACACATGCCTCAGAAACGAATACAGCGAGGCAATTACCGTAAAATTCCGATATTAAACCCCTCCATGTATAAGCCCCTCCAAATATAAGTCTCCTAAAATCGTAACGCAAAAACCCTCCGTTAAGTCGCCCCTCCGAATATAAGCCCCCCGGGGGGCTTATATTTGGAATTTGCCCTCGAATACAAAGTAAAACAAAGCAAAAACCGTAAATTTCCTTGCTACTACAAGCTAGCCCAATCGACTTTGAAACGCAAATTTCCCTCCGTACATAAGCCCCTCCGAATATAGGCCCCCCCCAAAATACGCCCCTCAAAAAGGGCCTTTGAAAAATATAAGCCCCGGGGCTTATTTTCGGAATTTTACGGCATATTACATCTATAGCTACTAACTTTGCATTGAAAAGAGAACAGTCAAGAATTAAGGTAAAGTAATGAAATTTCGGCTCGGAAAAATCGGCTGTCTCGCGTGTATCCTGTAAGAACTCTTTTAAATATGACCATGCGTTCCAGATTCGAATTTGAATTTGGAAGTGTTGGTTTTTGAGGAGAGGGGAAAACTGGAGTACCCGGAGAAAAACCTCTCGGAGCAGGGGAGAGAACCAACGACAAACTTAAGCCAAATGTGGCGTCGATACGGGTGTTTGAAACCAGGGCACATTGGTGTGGGAGACCGAGTGTTCTGACCACTGCACCACCCCTAATTGTTTCCCTTGCGCAGAGGGCGCTTTTATATGTACGAGATGGGTGTAAAATGTGTCAAAAGGGATCCTTTAATCTTTAAACAGTTGCCTATTGATCCGACCTTCCAGTTATTCATTTGTATCTTAAGGTTGTTGGCTAGAAAATACCGAGAAAAACAGCAAGTAATAACCTAGATTTTAAGACTCCTCGTTACTAAAACCTTTTTAGTCTAAAATTTGAAAAATCTCCTTTTTGGCTAAATTATCAGTTCCTTTTTACATTAATATGTGCGCCACATTTGGGATCAGTACTTCTAATTTTCTTATTTTAGTCATTTTGCTTTAAAGCTTCTTTTGTATGCATATTTTGTAAAATGAATAGACTGAATGGCACTACATTCAATTGGCTACAAATGATGTATTTAAGGGTCTGAATAGCTGTAATTTCTGCTAATCACCATTACATAAGAATCTGATCATGTAGATTCTTACTTCTGTAAAAACGGCGAATGTAAAAGGTAATACATTGAGCTTTAAGGGTGCTTAAAATAAGGTTATCATTATTTGTCAGAACAGTTGAGGACACTTATGTTTCTTACTTCATTTATTCTAGGAATGTTATAAATCATTTCAACCCGGAGATCATTTCATAAGTAGCTTGGATACGACTGTTTATTTGGATTAGTGCGGTCCTAATTATAGTTTTTGGTTGAGTGGAAATACAGTGAAAACCCGCACTAAGAATCTAGGACTTTCCCAAGTTAACCTGACCAGATTCTTGTGTGATGGTGATTAGCAGAGATTCAGTGAGGCTATATAGACCCTAAAATACATCATTTGCAGCTAATAGAATTTTGTAGCATGCAGCCTTATATTCCTTTTAAAAAATCTGCATACAAAAGACGTTTCAATGCAAAATGTCTAAAATAAGAAAAATAACAGATCACAAGTGTGGCGTACATAATTATTTTGTAAAAAGGAAATAATTTAGCAAAAAAGGAGCCATTTCAAAGTTAGGCTTAAAATGTTTTAGTAACGAGGGACATTAAAATCTAGCTTATTACTCGTTGGCTTTTACGGTATGTTCAACCAATAACTTTAAGATAGTGGATCAATAACTGAAAGGTCGTATCAATAGGCAACTTTTAAAGAGAAAGGGATCTCTTTTAACACATTTTACACCCATCTCGTAAATATACAGGGTATAATTAAAACGCACTCTGCGCAAGGGGAGCAAGGGTGGTATAGTGGTCAGATCACTCCCAGCAATGTGGCCCGGATTCAAGCTCTGGCATCGACGCCACATGTGGGTTGAGTTTGTCGTTTGTTCTCTCTCTTGTTCTAAGAGCAGTAGCTTTCTCTCCGGGTAATCTGGGTTTTCCCTCCCCACTTCCAAATTCCAATTCGATCAGGAACTCACAGACATATTGAAACGAAAGCAAAATTCTTCGTGTGTAACTAAATTGCGAGAAATTGAAATGCTTCTGAAGGTGATGATGATGATGAAGATGATAAGCACTTTCAGCATATACAAGAGACAGCCAATTTTTCCGAGCTGAAATCTCATTAATGTACCTTAATTCTTGAATGTTCTCTTTTCAATATGAAGTTCGTAGATGTAATATACTTGACTCGCCTTTTTCGTTTCTGTAGCGTGTGTTATAATGGAAGACATTTTTAACGACTTCTATGTCTTTCTAAAGAAAGAAATAATCAACATGAATATTTTAAAACAGTTCCTTTTTATCTTTCTTTCAGGAGAGTAAAGCGTTCCGAATCACCAAAGTACTTTACGCCCAATGACATTCACATACTGGGATTCTCTCCTGGGGCACAAAACAGTTGGAAAATTGAATTTGCTGTGCTTTTTCCCTCCGTGGACGGACAAACCCCTGAGATTGCGGAACCTGGTAAACTTGTTGAAATGGTCAGTGAATCAAAAGAGAGTATTGGTAAAGCTCTCGGCGCTACCATCCAGAGGGTTACAGTGGTGCCGGAAGCACAGTTGGCAACTGAAAAACCAACCGACGGTAATAAAATCAAGAAAAATTTTCAGTAATAGTTATTTTATACCGTAAATGCTCGTATTATTAGCCGACCTCAAATAAACGTCCCCCCTTCAATCCGGCGCCCCCTTTTAAGCTCTCCGACCCCACAAACACACCACCCCTCCTTACTGTGTATAACAAGACGCACGAGTGCGTGAACCCGACCTTCTTTTAGTTCATAAAATGATAGAGCGCCGGGGGAAAATGTGCACTATGTAATAATGCACTACAACCCATATGACTTTGATGATGAATTGATGATGAATAAATGGAACATACTACCGGCTAGCAAATCAGACTGGAAAGTCTCGAACGTTCCAAAGGGGTGTACTTGACAATGACTGCATAATGCTTAAAAACAGTTCATACGTTTTACAAAACTGCTTCTTCCTTGCACCTTGGTACACGCCAAAACCCAGGCCATTTTATAACCCGTCTCTTCATGAAAGGAAGGCAGGGTAATTAATGCAAAATGCGGAAAGTGATTTTCAGTGAATTTACGTAAAACATTTAGTGCCTAAAGAATGATCCATTAAAGGACATTACACTGCCGTACACGTGAAAGACGCGAAAGCGAAAGAAACTTGCCGGCAAGCTCAGATGGAAGAGCGCCCGTCTGCTGAGCGGAAGGTCGCAAATTCCTAACCCTGGCGGACCATTAACCGAGATCTGAAAATATCATGCTAGCTGTGATTAAAACCAAATTTGGCACTGGACAAACGAAATAGATTTGCACAAATTTGCTCATTGCAAATATATGGCAAAAATGTGCAAACTGAGAACTAATTTATAAATTAGGGGCAAAGATGGTTGCCAATGTTGTCTCCTAATGACAACAACCGCGAGTAAACCCCAAGAAAAACGATCGGGAATACGGTACGGTGGTGCGATTAGTTTCAGAGGCAAAAATGTTACAACCGTATCCGACCTTGTTAATCACTTGTTTCTGTTTCTTGAGAAAAGTTTCCCGGAGAGCATCATGTAAAGCTCTTAGATGCGACAAAGTTATTAGCATTCGCAGCATCTGCATCGTACAATATCGTATTATATTCTCGTTTTATTTGGCTAAACGGATCAATCACCCTGACCCAGGCTGAGACAGAGAGGTACGACATTGCGCCCTTTTCCAAAGTGATCACTAAGTCTCTAGCCTTAGGAACAGGCTCTTAGGAGTGAAATAAATTAGGTGAGAGCAAAATTGCAGGTGAACTTTGACCTGGGCCAATTTTTGTATGAAAACGGGCTCTATGTTGGTCTGCCGTCCATGTGGCCCTACATCCGGGAACTTGAATAAGACGAGTGTACGAGAAAAGTCCAGTGGTGTTTATCTGCCAATAGGCCGAGTTTTTCCGAGGTATTCGATGATATTTCGCTTGTGTTAAACGTGAGAGGATTATGCGTGGTTGGGGATAGTCTTATCAGTGCCGTGAAAGTGTGTGATTGTTTGATTTCCAAATGGTGTTGACAGGTATGTGATCGCGTGGTTGAACTGCGGTTTCGCCAAAGTATTCTGTGCCAGCCACAAAAACGTTTCGTCAATGTTTAGCTTACCTGATTGTACCTTGGAAAAGTAACTCTCGACTCAGGAAATTTGGATCTAGGTCTAGTTTCAGCGGGCTCTAAAGGCATTGAACCGTAGGCCGGTTTTTGCAGATCAGAAGGTGATAATTTGTGTACTATGTTTCATCTAGTTTGTTGTCTATTCCATGCGAAATCCTGTCGTTTATTAGTCTGCTACACAGCCGTTTTTAGAGTCGTCACGCAATGCTCCTCCCCACGTGGGGAGGAGCGTTGGGTGACGACACTAAAAACGGCTGTGTAGCAGACTAGTCGTTTATCGGAC